TTTTTGTTAAAGAGGCCGGGCTTTCTCGGCATCAACGGCAGATTCACGATCGGCTGTTTCACGCACACACAGACCTCGATTAAAGTCGACAACGACCGCTATGGGTTACATGGCTGAACGGCGAGTTCCGCATAAATCGAGAATTAAATAGACAAGCTTTCCAGGATCTGCATAATCTCGCGAGAGTGTGTTAATCCTGGGCGAGGTATTCTAAACAGCTTGGTGTTATTCGTCGAAGAGACGACCAAAGAGATGCCCCTTGTAGTTTCTTTCACTATACCCGTGCAAATATATGCATTTGAAATTGTTTCAATATAAAGATTATAAATAAATTATGATATGCAAACTATGAATAAATATACGGATATTATATGATAATAGTATACCATTATTTGTAATGAGCATCTTCACTTTAATTAAGCTATAACGGGAATATTTCTATATGCAGTACGGTAACAATAAGGAATAAATACATAATGGATGAAAAAAAATCAGACATTGCAACAACAACGATGGCGCGATGTTGTTTCTAATCAGATACATATTATATTTTGCTTGATATTTTTGAAACACCATTTGTGTCACTTTAACGACCATGCGGTGACCGGATGTCGTAATGACGTACCGACAAAAGCGCGCGTCTTAACTTTTTTTCCTCCTTCCGTCCCTGTAGTTCTATCCACGGCACATGATCGCGAGATGAGTTCTTCGATATTTTCAATTGGTTGTTATTTTAACTCGCTATCTGCAGATGATCAGGATTTAAACATATGATCGCGTATATTATGTGTCATAGAGGCCCGACATTCTTGAAGCACTTGTCGTTGCCAAAAATTTGAGTTATCGATAATAACGAGCGACGATGCCTGCTACCCGCGTTTTTGAGCGCGAAAATGACGCGACATCTTTTTATCTGGGAAAATAAAAATGTTGAAATAAAAACCTCACTCGCCCCGTGTCATTTCGGTGCGTTTCGCAAACACGTACAGCGGCGCTATATCTTTGTCATATTTCTCCGATATATTTATTTTCTTTTTCGCAAAGAGACAAACAAGATGTCCACAGATAGACGAATGTGGATTATTTCTACACCTCTCTTTTCTCCGATTTCTCTTTTAGCGCGACACAGGAGTTACGATCAACAACTCCCGGGGTAAATATCATTTTTCGCGAAGGTTTATACGACTATATACTAAGATAACTTAGTCTTTGTGGTGTCGTCGCGCCCAGATTGCTCCCAATTTAACGCGGCTCCGCCGCACTTCGACTCGTTTTTCTCCGCTGAAAAAAATAGGGAAGGAACGAAATTAGCGGAAGCGCGGTGATGATTCGCATCGAGCATTTTGCGGTAACACGTAATCGCGTAATTATCATTGTGCTATTTGCACAAAAGGAGAACGATAAGATTAAACGACGCTCTTTCCCACCTTCGAAAATCTCATCGAGCTCTCTAAACCGTATAACATTTTATCATCATCCTGGAAGATACGCCGATACAAGTTTATTGACAATTGCTAGATGGAACGATGATACTGGCGTATATACTCGTAGCTGCGCGCTATATTTACTTAACGTTCCGCCATTGGTAGCAGCATGTCAATATCGCGCCGGATACGACATCCGTATTCGGGAATGGGAAACTGATGTCCGAGAAATCTCTGTGAATTTGCATTACATAATTGTACGTAAAAAAAAAAAAAAAAAAATATGTCTGTGATTTAGAAATGACAAAAGTAAGCTTGATATTACGACATTCGTCAAATATTGCGGAATATTTATCGACTATTTGCGAATGTACGTAACGAAACGCGGACAATTAAAATACGATAAAATCCATCCGTCGCGCGCGCGATCGAATGAAGATCTCGTTGACAATTTTTTTAGTTGTCCGCAAAATGACAACCGTTCGGCGGCCATCCATCAGCGATCGTCCAATAAATCGAACCGTGCACGTGAATTTCGCGTTCTCTCGCAACGAACAGTAATTCAATTCCGTTTACGCAATTTCGAAACGGCCGAGCGATCGACGATTCAACGGGTGTCCCGATTGTTCCCGATTTCAATGTTCTTCCTCGGCGAAATCGTAACTCTTCGTCGCTCGCCATCTCTACTATATATACCTACGAAAAATCGTCAGAATGATATTCTCTCGCCGAACCGGTCACCACATGGCGATCGCAATCTTCCACGCCTGACATAGCGCTTGTAAATTGATCATGGTTATACGGCACCGTGGTTGAAAGTGATCTGCTCGTTAAGTATCGTGGGGGCCCCGTGAAAGACAGTGTCTGGAAAGCGAGACGATAACCGGGAAGACCGGCGTGATCTCGATCGAGAAAATACCCTATCGACGATATACCCCTGACGTATGCGCGATTAATGGCGAAAGTCGGGAGCGGGAAGAAAGATTTTGCTCTCTCGCCACGCTTCTTGCCTCAAGTCCATCTTACGCGAGCAACGACGGAAATTGAACATTGCGTAAGCTCACGGTAACTCGCTTCCCCTTCATCGTGTAAGCAACTCAGATTACCGGACTGGAAAGTGAATTGTTAAGTAAAAACTCGTTTTTCATATAACGCCTCGTGTAATGTGCAAAATATCCGTTTATTTTGTGTCAAAGTTGTTGATGGATCTTTCGCAATGGACTTTTCATTCGTATACAATTTTGATTGAGGATACACCGTTCGTAGCAAATGATTTATTTTCATCGTTAAATATCTTTGTTGTCCAGTGCAAAATTAAATTTATATTGGAAAATTTGCTTGAAATTAATTAAAAACTGGCACTTTATTTCATCGATCTGTTCTTTTAAAGATTAATTTGTCAAAAGTGTTTAATTTTATTTCATCATTATATGTGTTAAATTACACATTTTAAGCAAAATCTTGTATAAATATTAAACTCAAAAAGCTTAATGATATATGCATAATTAATAATTATTATTTAATTTTTTGCTAATAAACGCATAGTTAAACTGATTTCTACGTACCCGATCGGTTCCATTCCTGACGACAGATAAGAAACCTTGAATGTTCGATACACAATGAAAACGCGAGAATATCCAACCCACAAAGTCACACCTCACTAAATAGATAGAACTTCCGCTTAGATTGCACTCTTGGTCGCGTCCTGAAAACTACAACGCGCGGACAAATGATTATTATTCTCGCTATGATCCTTAACGATCTCGTACGCAAAGTTGGATCTCGCGGACCGAATTTTCCGTGGCGGAAGAGCGCCGGTTTTTCGCCACGCCACCCCGTATATATCGCCTGGGAAAATAAATCTTGTGGACACTCACCGGGAGGGAGACTGGACACTGGAGGCTGTCACCGGACACGGGTTGCAGCGACTGCAGCAGATCGCGTGCGTGAAAGAGAGGACGGCTATCAATGGCTGCATTATACAATACTCGACGGTGGTATATACGCCAATACGATTCGCCGTCGCGAGTGTGCGTATACGCGCGCGCGTACACCTCGTCAAGTATGTGTGCACGTGCATACAAAGTCGCGTGTATATGTAGACATGTGTATACATATACATATGTATATGTATATATAGATACCACCGAACGAGGTGTGCTGTTCACCGCGCGCGGCAGGTATTGCCGTCAGGAGAGGCTCTCCGGCATAACCCGTTCGCGCGAGATGGATGGACGAAAACGGCCGCGAACGACGAAGGGAGACGACAACGTTGTGCTCCACCCTGTTCTTGGTTTACTTTTCGACGAGCATTTCGCCGATTAGATATCGCTTTTTTGTAAACACTGTGTGCTACGAGTGGGTTCGATTATTGTATGACATCCTCACCTCCTTCTTTTCTCTCTTTCTCTCTATACTAATCTCTTTCTCTTTCTCACATCTTTATCGCCCTTGATGCCATCATATATACTTTGTTCCTGCCCCCTATATCCCCTTACCCCCTTTCCTGTCGCCATCGCGAACCCCCTTCCTTCTCGCGTTCATTCTTCTCTTCTTTCTCTTTTCATTCTTTATTCCGCATCTTTCTCTCTCTCTCTTTTGATCTCACTCGACCGGATCGACCTGTTCACGTGTGCACTCGCAATAACTATATCCAGCTTGGGTCTTTCTTATTTTTTTGTCAGGTCGTTCTTACGCAGCTTGAAAATGGATTGACTTATTGTAAAACCGTGTCCCGCCGTTCGTGATTGTCCGCGCGTGTCTGAATATGTACTTAGCCCGTACATCGAGTCAAGTAGTATACGACAAGTATTTTTCTCCCCGCTCATTTATATCGCCACGTGCGCCGACTCTACGCAAATTCTATTTTTCACGTTAACCGCCTGGAGCAATTGCACGTTCCGCATTGTCAAGCAACGTATATCAATCGCATGCGATTCGATCGATCGCTCGCAAAAGCAATCGTACAAAGTATAAATCATTTCGATAGCATACCAGTACCGAAGGTGTACAAAAGTGAGATATCACTCTTTTTCTCCCTCTTCTCCGCCATGACAAATTTTTTTACCATTCAATTTTTTCTATCTAATATAACTTCACAGAATAAGATAACGCTTCAACAGATAAATTGTCAATCCTTCTTGTTTACCAAAAATAAAATTAAGAGAAATGTTAGGCGCAAAGCTAAATGTTCTATGAGAATCCATTCCATTGAGATTGTATCAGAAAACGCACAGATTTCTAAAGTTTTAAAGCACTATTACATTATTATACGCTAACAGGATCTCATTGAAATACGCTTGTAACAAGCGCTTGTATGCAAGTGCAACAGCTCGATAAACGAGTACGAACACGTTATGAACACGCTACGTGGAGAGGTATATATCGCTAGGGGAATAAGTCACCATCGCCGATAAATCGCCTTAGTACATAGTTAGACTGTACGCGATGATAGATTTCATAGTTAATGTTAAAGGTCTTTATGGGTTCCCCATTAAGTCACATTGTACACGGTTGGATAGCCGCATCCTGAATGAATAAGCACAATAAGCAGGTGTCATTCGTACTTACCGGCTTCGAATCTCCTTCCAGCTGATCGGGTTTACGGCCGTATCGACCCCGTCCACCGTCGTACAATTATGGCGAACATCAGGAAGCGCACCATCCTGAGGATAAGAAAAATCTTGGCTCAGCTTGATGAATAATGCGAAACGTCATTCCGCGCTATTTAATCTTTGATCAAATCTCTCGCATGTAATACATTTCTATAGGTAAAAAAATCTTTCTGATATTTTGTTACATTATCGATTTTAACTTTTATTACTCGCGCGAATCGTCACAGCTCATCTTCATATGCTGTCAAACTTTTAACTTTTCCGACAACAGAATGCTGAGGAACAGCGATATAATCGAGTATTTTTTATTTAATCATCGATTAAATTAATCTTTCATATCACAATATATTTAATTATTTTTATAAGATATAGTGTATTTATTTGACAATAATCAAGATATGTATTAACATTTTGTTGACTGCAAATTAATTCGCGTTCCATTATACATTATTGCAGAAGCTAAAAGAATAAAGTTCGAAAATAAAATAGAACAAAATAATAATATACAATCTGATAAAGAATATACAATAAAAGAGAATCACAAATTGCGTCTCTCTTTCATCATTCATCTTCACAAAAGGAAGTAAATTAAGTAAACGAAGTTTTATAATCGAGAACAAAAGCAAACTAATGTAGAGAATTTTATTGGTAAGAATGCGTTAATGTTTCTTAATTTCTTAATCCATCCATGCAATCACAGGTAGAAGAATAAAGGAAAGCATAATTAAAGCACCGCAATATCTCTATTAAAATTACAGCAATTTGCATTTTTATAGCAATATCAAAAACAATTATGCTGATTTATGAATTTTCGCAATTATAATCATATAGTGGCCTCATAATGACTATCGTTCAATTAATGAGAAAAGAATACATTTTGTTAAAATGTACTATCCAGTATTCATTGTGTAAGAATCGAAAGATCGAAGATTTGCGGTTGGTTACCGACAGGTACGAAAGATTCTGGATAAAGACAAAGGACGATGATTCAGAGGTAGGAGGAGAGAAGAACCTGGTAGATGACACGAGATTCCTACGAACGCGGGTACTACGTCACTGTCTTTTTCTTCTCCGCTTCGCTACTCTCCCTTTCCCTCCCGTGCACCTTCTATGGTTTAATGTTTTCGACTTGAAACGCCGGCATTCCTTCCGCTGCATGGAATCCGACGATGTTAAATGAGTGAAGAAAATGAGAAAGATCTTGAGAAAATATAATGTTCACTAAACATTCTCTCTCTTCCATAATTTATCATGTAAGAACTGTTTAAATATTTGACAGATGCTTGAAATTATTTCACATTATATATATATACATATAAATTTTTCTAATAAAGTGTAAATATAATACATATATAATATTACAACATATCAAATAAAGCATTTTATAAATAGTAAGTAATTCATTACAAGCATATATAATATCATTATATATCTCACAAAATGATATCAAGTTTTCGTTAGATTCTTAAGTGGTTTTCACGCGGTTAAAATCTTCGACCCGTTAACCGATTTTTAGCAATTTAAGATAATTGGACAATTATCATATTAATTACGCATCATATTAATTTAATTTGGAAGGTAGATCTCTCAGATTTCTGGCAAGCTAAAAAATATCTGGTGTGTAGAAAGACGATTCAGTAAACGGAAGCTGTCGAGGCTTTTGGGCGCTCTTCTCCCGAAAACCGGGTAAGATCATATCGTTTCCCATTTCAGGAAGATCACAGGTAGCTCCCGCTCTATTAATAGACCGGCTGATCAATTCGCAAGCGCGTCGATGGGGATTTACCTGTGGCACGTGGGCGTTCCCGGATAGCAAGAGGCTGTAAAGTCGTTAAGTAGCCACTTCGGACTTTAGAATCAGGAGGTGATGGATCATTAGCCCCGAGGATCTTTCCGTAACCTACGGTCTCTGTCGAACCAATACTGGTTACATGCTTCGACAGGATACCACCATGAAGCGTGTAATCGTCCAGCTGAGTTTCAGCCGTCCGTGAAGTAAAAACAACGCTCGCGCGATCGTGACGTTGCTAAATCGTAACACAAATTAATTTTCTTCAAAAATCGAGCAAACTGCAATCCATTAGTCGATACAGGATTATATAACAACGATTCAATTTTGATACTGTTTGATTGTTCAACGGTTGTATATTTTTTTCTACTTTTTTTTATATTGCTATACGGATCAAACGAACGTATCGCAAGAATATACATCTGGCATTTGGCAAATTAAAATATGAACAATAAAGATTAGAATGCATATAGAAAGATAACGATGTATAACGATCGGCGAATGATAAGACGATAAGAATATGCGGAAATAAGTGGTCGTGTCGTGTGCTAATGTAGCACTTAATAAATTCGCGAGCGTGGAAGTGTTATAGCCGCGGGCGCACTACAGTTTCTAGGCAGCGAGGAGCCCATAAAGACGTTAAATAGCCACTTTCGACCCGGCAAGAAAGTGGTACTGAAGCATCGGCCCGCGTGAGAGGGAAAAGATTGCAGTCAATGGCATACGAAACGCTCCGAAAGTGTACATAACATCAGTTTGGATTACGCGCAACGTTTGAACGGATGAGACGCACGCGGTATGAAAATTTGTGACGGTAATGTCTCGCAATAATGAAGATTCGATATATCGAGAGATACGCCACCGTATACATAAATACCCCACAGGTATTCCACTTTATTTCCTGCCGTGTGAAGAACGCAAAGCAACACAAATCACGTATCTGTATCGCGACATAAAATCTCTAAATTATATATCTTCTAATTCTTATATAATTTTGAGAAAAATGTGTACGTATATATTCGTTATAATTTGGTTTTAATATCTGGAAGCATATGTGTATAAATTATTATAATAACTTTATAAATGACAATTAATATATATTCTATTTTGTTATTAACATACAAATTTAGATTTTTAATTTTTACGATCGTAGGTACAAGTACTTATCAGTACATCCGAGCGTTGTACAATAAAGATTATTTAACGCTTGACCTTATCAATATACCTTTGACATAGAATGTAAGAGGAGACTATATTAATTGCCAAATGTATTTATAGAATTATTAAGACCGATAATTGAGATAAGTAACAGAACTTAATACTAGATTAGATAGTGTATAAGATAGTGTAAAGTGAGATGCAGAAATAGCTTGGCATTATATTGTAGATGTGTTGCAAAGACAGATAGAATAATCCGTTTTATAAATAGCGACTTAGAAAGTTAAAAGACTCGAACAAAACAATCAATATCTACGAATAAATGAATGGTCGATTAATATCGCACTGTACGAAAGATACAGGATCGTATCGTGCATATGTTACATGAAAAAAGTAAACAAGCTGAAGCGGACAGTTCTCGAGAAAGGTAAGATATCGCGGTAACATGCTAATAATGCGTGGGCGTTTTCTGGAAATAAGGAAGCATATGCAATACAAAAGGTAGGTAACCACTTTTAGACACCGTTGCGAGAAACAGGTACTTGAAACCGGCTGCAGAATCGCAGTGGTTTTTTGCCTACACGTTGCGAACATTTACATTCTAAAATGTAGTGAACATAAGAATGTAATTTACTTGTACATTTATTAATTGCCATTGGCTATTATATCTTCTTCCAGTTACGAAGAAAAATACAAAATGAACATTACACACATAATGTATTTCCAGGGGAAAACAGTATATAGTATATTGTGTATTAAGTGCGGAAAGTTGACAATTGGTCACGAGTGCGGGGGATGCGCTAGAAGGCGGCGTGGGAAATCGGCCGCTTTCCGCACAGAAAACACGCATACAAAGTGCCACTTTGCCTGCACGTGTAATACAAAAAATTAAGACATAATTAAGAAAGAGAAAAATTACCGAATTACTATAAATTCCTAACAGCACACATATCCCGAAGACGTTCAGAGAACATCCTGAGGATGTTCGCATGTCCTCTAAAAATCCTCTGAATATCTTTCGGCTATGTTGTGCTATTAGGGTTATATCGTCGCAAAGTCCGCAGCATCCAAATGACGAGATTCAATGAATTCGATACCGATTACGGTATAAACTTGATAAGTCATGAGCAAGTGGAGTGGCACGTCAACGATTCGGGGAGCAATCGCGGGAATTGGCACGGAGGAGCCGCAAATGTATGCGATCGGTCAGGTAGAAGCCCGGTAGGACGAGCGAGGTTTGCCGGTCGGAAGAGGCGAGTCCGAGAGAGCCGCTGGAAGGATGCTGGAGAGGCCGAGTGGTGGCGGCACGGCCGGTGTGGTCAGGTGGCTCGCAAGGACGCGGCAGGCCGTTCACCCGTTGGTCCCCCTCCGCCCCCTCGCTACCGGCTACCCCCCTCGCCATCGCTCGTCACACGTACAGGGTATTCACGTATACACATACACGCAAGCACAACATCGCGAATCTCTTTTCCTCTCCTTTCAACTGTTGTCTCTTGTCCGTTCTCTCTTTCCCGCCTCCTTCTTCTTCTCCTGTGTCTCGATGTTGCCCCTTTTCTCCTACCTCCGGCGCTCTAGATCCGAACACGAGCGCTCGCCTTAACTAAGTTACCGGTATTTGTACTCCAAGGAATCGCCGGTTACTGTATTCTCCGTGTAAACATGATAATTGACCCGTTACACTTTGCACCTAGCGCGACCGAAATTTTTTTTTTTTTTTTAAGGTCATCCTGTGCGTCTTATTTTGATTGTTTATTGTATCCGCGCGCGATTCTCCTCCGCAGGAATATTTTATGTATAGGGGCACGTAAATTCGACATACTAACGATACCGTAAAAGTTCGGTGGAACCCATGAAATGTGGAAGTTTATGGGGAGGCAGCGTGGAAACGATAGTATTAAGGCAACGTTGTTAGCACTTTATGATCGTTATGTTTACTGGAGATTTAAAGCGATACAAACTGTAAACGCGTAAGATATAATGTGAGAAAAGTAAGATCATAATGAAAAAAAGATATCATATAGCTCTCCGCGATAGTGTGTTCGAGCAACATTTATAGCAGTTTTCTTTAACTGTTTAAAGTGCGACATAAAAACTCGCGATTCAA